CAGCCAATAATGAAACGAGTGAAACGTGTTGCAGAATGAGAGTTCAAAATTTTCAGATTCAAAATATGCATTAGACTTCAATCTTTAGATAGTCGTTTGTATTTTCAACAATTTCTGTGATGATGAATATCAATGCGAAAAATCAAACAACCAAATCAATTTTGCTTTTTGATTAGTTTTTTTTTTCTGTCTCCGAAAAGACAGGCAAAACAAACTATACTATATGATAGACTGAGCTATAGTATACTAAATGATGTTACTCGTTCTGAGAAAAATATAGATCTCACTTTAATCATTCTGTTGTAATGCTAGCCAGTCAAGTCGATGTCTATCTTATTTATTGTATACGAGTTCATCCAAGTGACTGTCATCATATTATATTATGAAAAGTTCCGTTGATGCGTTCAATATGAATATTTTCCATTTGGTCGACTTCTCAAAATTGATCATCGGTAATATAAACAGACATGTTCATCGCAGTTCTTACTAACAGATGCATTAAAATTATATATCCCTTCGTCGAACATAATTTAAGAGAGAAAAAGAGAACGACGATACATACGTGGTCTGTAACTACAAATATTGCAGTTTCACTTATTTTACGTAGCATTATTGCAAAGATGAATATCACTGGCATAGAAATACTTGGAAATAATAAGCTCACATCGTATCATATCAAATTTGTTATCTTACTTCTGCTACAAATTCCAGCAATAGTACTTTCTCTCATCATCTTTATCTTTTTTGTAACACATCGCGCTGCTCTACAATCTCTACAAAATCGTGGATTATTGCTTCTACTTGTAGTGCACTTCGCTCGATTATCATTTAGTACACCGCTTACTCTTCATTTCTATTATCTTGGATACGTGACTCCAGCCGCGTCAACCTACTGCACATGGTGGACCTTCTTTGAGTACACTTGTTATACAAGTAGTGAATTTCTTTTGGCTACTATTTCTATTCAACGGCACATGTTCATTTTTCATGGACATGTCTTACGGATTCGCTGGAAACGCTATGCACTACATCATCTACCGCTACTGCTCACCATCGTCTATTCTACATTATTCTATGTATTCTCCATTCTCCTGTACCCATGCGATGGTACTCAATGGGACTTCACTAGCAATCTATGTGGCTTCGCCGATTGTTATCTTCTGTTTGATGAAGCGCTTATTTTTGTCCACAAATTACATAGTTAAACTGCAACGAATAACAGAAACAACTTTCACAATACTACAATCCTGTTTCTATCATGGTTAACTTTGTCTGATGGAGTGTGATACTCAGTTGAGGTAGACAACTTGAAACTGAGCATCTTTTTGATCAATTTCTATCTTAAGACATAAACTCATTGCGTAGATGCAGTTTGCTACTTCAATGTTGCTATTGATGAAAACAGCACGATTTCTGTTTCAGTACAACTCTGTTATTCGATGGCACATATTAGAAAAAAACGATAAACGTTCTTGAAAAAAATAAACCTTGATGTATGGTCAATCGAAATCTGCTATAACAATGGTGTTCAGCAAATGTTAAGAACGTTGATAATACCCAAGATTCGACCAACTTTCACTAATTGTGATTGATTCTTCAGAGAAGATTTATTGTTTTGAGCTTTAAAGCATGTAAAATATTACACAGCCAATCATAGAAACTTTTAGATAGTGGTCATTGTTAACATTGATTTCTGTCGTAAGGTAATTCACATTGCTAATCGAGATTCCACATTATTATTGAACCGTTCTTTAAACACGTTCGACATGGTAGTCAATAACGGCATGCCTGTTGCGATTGATATATTCGCCAACATTAGCTTGATTTTACGAGTAGCAATGCGAAAACGTCGCTTTCGACAATCGTTGGTATGGCGACAACATCGACGTATGATAGTACAATTGTTTTGCCTCTCGAGTCTTTATCTAGTTGCTTTGACTCCGGTACTTGTCGTAGGACTTGTGCAAACATTTTGTTATCCGGATGTTTTAGCTGGAATCCAAACAGAATATTTTTTCGATCTTATCAATATTGTATATCTTTTCCTTCCATGGATGTGTCTTGCTTTCTTTCCTGAGGTAGTCAAATGGATAAAAAAGTTGTGTCGTTGTCGACAAGTACGCAATGCCGTTGGAACCATAAAAGAACACAATGTCGTTGGAACCATACGAACACTGCAATTAGAAGCAAGAGTATGAATCATTGAATCTACACCTATCACGTACGACAGTGTGGATATAAATGAAAAAAAGTGAATTGACAGCGTAATCAAGAAAGAACGTCATCCAATATATATGACAGCTATCAAAGAAACAAACTTTATTTTTTGTATGATTTTACTCATTAATTAAGGCTTTTTATGTTTTGTTTTTCATTTTATTTCATTTTGGAAATACCTCAGTTGCTTCCAAATTTTATCGAAATCCATATAAGAGAATCTAACTTGAAGTGAAGAAAGAAAATAAATGAAATAAAGGTTCAATAATGAAAGTAACCTCGCTTTTTTGAAAGTTTTGGGTACAGTCTCTTTTTTATTGAAAAGTATTATTGAATCAAGGAAATGAATTTGTTTTGTGAGGGTTTGTAGACAAAGAGAAGAAAAATAAGAGATTCTTTCTCGATAGGAACCAGAAAAAGGAAATAAAGAAATGAAAAAAAAATTATTATGTTTGTGATTTAATTCAATTTAATTTGTTAGATTCATCGGAGAAAATCCATTGGTGCAAACAATAATATTTTTTGAAAACTCTCAATAACATTAGATTCAATAACAAACCCTCGTTCACTACCAAAACAAATTTAGTATGACAGGAATATCTACCTTCAATAGCAAAGAATGTCTTTTTGTATAATAAGATTAAAACAAAATTATGTACGTTAGAGCTTCATCTGAAATTTACTTAAACTTATAATCAAGAAACGTTGTTACGGATATTTGTCGAATTTTGAGAGTAGATGTGGATAATGTGTAGCGTGAGTGTGGCCTTGGTTTCAAGCTATATCCGTATGTATGGTAGTCAGGTTCGAAACCCTCACCCACAATTAATTGACATTTCATGGGATTAAAAACTCACTCACAAAATGATCTTATTTCATATGACCAAATGGAAAAATAATAGTTTTATGTGTGAGTGTGACTTCAAAGAAGAGCTGTATCAACACTCGTATCTAAAACCATTTGAAGTTCCACAATCCGTGCGTAACTTTATAACAGTCGATATAAAACCTATTTTTGTAAGAGTATAGTAAATGCAATAGTATTTAACACGAATGTTCCATTCGATCATTGGAAACATTTTAATGTACTCATATATTCAATCATCGTATTAGACTACTTAGATATTCAGATGAGAGATAGTGGATCTGTCGCTAAAATAAAAAATTTCCTCATTATCAAATTTAATTACAGACTCATAGAAAAATTTTACATTTTTCCCTGAGAGATAAAAATGACGAATACTCCATAATGTAGCTAGCATACTTCTGTATAATATAGAAAAGTTTGGTAAACAGATGCAAACATCAATTTTTCATATTGATGAACACGGTAAAAAAAATGATAGAATTAAAAAACTGTTTAAGGGTTTATGAAAGTACAATGTATTAAAAGCCTTCAAAGAATTTATCATTCTACACTTTACTTTACAGTCTAGACACCACTCCTCTATGACTCTCATGGGAAGAATATTTTATAGTCATGATTACGCAAAAATATGAATTATATTGTGGAATCGAATTTTTTTCCTTATTCTTCTGAATCATTGAATGATTGCGAATACTATCAGAGTAGTCCAATGTTGTTGTAGAACATATACCACTTTTCATGGAGTGTGGGTAGGTGTGAATTGGTGTTCGACGGTGTGTGATATCAATCCATATCCGCACCCAACCCAGCCACATGTACCGACACGCTCTGGCAGGCAGTGGATAGAATGATATTCGTTTCTGCAAGAATAGAACGGATCAGTCAATTTAATATATGACATTGAACAAAATATTGATGATATGTTACTCTCTAGTCAGATAAAATTAATCAAGAATTCTAACGGTTAGCTATTATTGAAATTGGTCAGAAACATAACTTAAAGAACGAAGAATAAGTTACATATCGTCCTATTTCATCTATAATGACTGAAAAATTAATTAAAATGATATTATCAAATGATTTGGATAATGTGTCAGAATTCAATGGCATTGCACAAGTCGTTGCTTGCACTTATCTACACTCTTTCTTGTTTATTTATTTATTTCTTGTCATGTACTCTTGTATGTTTCTGCTGATAATCAATTTAATTTGCGTCTCTTTTAAATTTCTTTAATCATTATTCACATTATTATTTGTTTTATCATTTTTTTGTTGTCTTTCTGTCGGTGAGGGAGATGTTATGCCAGATAGTATCTATTCTGAGATAAAGAATGTCTTGTTTCGATTCATAATATCACACTGATAATAGTTTACTTATTCTTTTCTATTCTCTTCTCACTGTTGTATTATCATTCTTGGATTATTGCTCGTAGAATAAAACATATAAAAAAGAAATAAAGAGGATAAACATAGAATTGAGACTACGATTAAAATTCAATTTTTGAGCAAAAAATATAATAAGATACTCCTTATTCATAATCAGGACATTCTTAATTTCAATTTAATTAAAATTTTGGAGAATTCTGCTTAATAATTTTTACTATGATCATAGAATTTTAATTAGTTTTCCTTCGATAAGCCTTTTGACTCGACTTTCATTACTGATGACATAAGCAAAGCAATTCATTTTGAATGAGAAAATAACTTCAAAAATGCCTTGACAAGTGACAATTTTTTTCTTCTGTTATTTCTTTAGCAACAGAAAAGATGAGATGAAAAGGACTATTCTACTTCACTGTAGATGGTAAAACATTCTTGAAAATAAACTAAACAGGAAAAGCGGATTACATAAGTTACCGGTTTCAAGGGCCTCTCGTAGCACATATTAATCAGTATATACATCAGTGAATATCAAATGGCTGTGTGGATTCGAAAGAAAGATCTAGCTCCTTATGAAACGATTGAATTAATTATAAGTGTTATTATTCCAATGTTTCTAATTGTGATTGGTACTTTCGGTAATCTTATATCTATTATCGTTCTATTCAATAAAGAAAATCGTCGAACATCGACCAGTATCTATTTAATATTTTTATGTCTTATGGATACAATATCACTTTATCAATGGAATCTAAGTCGTGCAACTTATACATTCACAAATGGCAAATCAATATGGGATGAATCATTAGTGATGTGTAAATTGAGTCAATTTTTTGCTTTTTATACTTTACATACATCAGCCATATTTCTTACTTTTGTTGAGCTTGATCGAGCTTGTTTATTAAGAAGTAGATGGTATAAAAACAAAATAGCTCGACCATCCATTGCATTGATATTTTGTATTGCTATTCTGGTTACTTTATTTGGCATAGACGGATTTTTATTAGGATTTGGTGTTGAATATTTGACGTATAACAATAGTACAGGAGTGGTACAAAAAGTTCTATCATGCTATTACTCGCTCGACAACAACATCAATAATTTCTATACTATTCAATATCCATGGGCAAGTATTAAACTTAGTTTGATTAAAATCAATATTTATTTTCTATTAAAGATTCATCTGGTGATCATGTATTTTTTACCATTTGGTATCATCATTCTATGTACATTTTTTACAGTAACAAAACTATTTGTTAAACATACATTTACAAATGATCAATTAGTAAGAAATGCTCAACGCAATCGTCGCATTTCATTAATGTTGTTACTCATGTGTTTGACATATATTATTTGTACTTTACCTAATCGTTTGTGTTTTTCCATTTTTCTGGATCAGATTTTAGGGTATGACTATACGGATACGGTATTGCTTGCTTCAAACACATTAATGTATACAAGAAATGCTATAAATGCATTTTTTTTCTACATTTCTGTCAAAGGATTTCAACAAATAATACGTCGATTCGTCTTAAAATGCCTTGGTAAACTATCAAATCAAGTTAATCCAGGAAATCAGACACAAACAAGAAATGATGTGATGATAATAACAGTCAATGAAAGACAATTACGAACGGAAAATAAGACTGTTCTAAAATAATGAATTAATTGTTGTTCGTACTCTTTTACAGAACAATCGAAATTTTAAATAACTTCTCTATCAATATTATTTATTATCGTGTTGTAAAAATGTTGGTAATTATTGTGATTGTAAAATTGTTGTTTAATGACAAAATAAAGCGGATTATCTCTGTTAATTTATCTAAAATTTTTTAACTAAAAAAAGAAACATGGCTTAAAGAAAAGGATGCTTTGGCCGTAATCAGATTATTATACGATTACTGCATAAATTTGTCATGTTTGAAAGTTGTCATTGAAAATTATTAATTAGTAAATTAAAAGTAATTTGAATAACATGATGAAAACATCTATCAAGCTAGTATAACTTTCTAGCATCAATACTGGTAATAGTTACGCAAGTACTCATCCTCGATTTTTTGTAGAATATTTGGCAAAACATTCTTGTCTTCATCCACATTCCCATCTTTGATCAACACGTGTATATTGTTCTAAAACAAGGTATCAGTAATAATAATATGTGTTCGATGAAAAAGTTTAACTGATGATGTTTCTTTTTGTAATAGAAGATGAAGTAGGTTGCATAGAAGATTCTTTGAGATACTCAGTAGTATGCTGACAATGTCGAGATCGATTAAAAATTCTATGAAAGAATTTGTTTGGCCTTGCAGCAAGACTTCTTTGTTGAGATTCGAATGTATCACTAAAAACTAGGAATTGAAATTTTATCGAAAAATTTTAAATTTTTAAAGTTTCTGCATAGTTTTAAATATAATTGAAAACTTCAAAATTAACACAACTTATGGAACATTTGACCTTCTATTCGGCTATGTGTAAATCATTTTGTTACATTTTGAAATAAACGATATCGATCATTATCTTTTCGCTAGAACTCAGTCGTATCAAAGCCTTTTGAGCTGAAACTTTTACCATCGATGTATCTCAGTGATCTCTATTAGCAATCCAAATTTCATCGAATTTGGAGAATTTTTTGAAAACCGAGAATGTCATTTTCTTAGTTATTACGAGCACGATCTAGATTCGCGGTAGTCACCTAACATTACAGAAAAATGATCGCTAAAATGTTGTTATTGAATTCATTTCCACTATCTTATGCAATTAAAACTTATGATCATAGCAGTGTATTTTTTTATATTGTTCTTCTCATATCTCATTTGATAATAAATGCATATTTTTTTTTGATTTTCATTTTTGAAATAAAATGAAAATAAATCTTCGAATACAAAGCAAATTCGATAGATTTTTATATTTATGAATCAATACAAACAAGGGTGTGGGTGTGGGTGTGGGTGTGGGTGTAGGGTGTGGATGTGGGTGTGGGTCAAAGTATTCCATTCACCCACACTCCACACCCACACCCCATACCCACATCCACACCCTGATCAATACAAAATCTCCTCTAACATCTATACCCTCGAAAATGGTATGAACAATCGAATTCTTTTTCTTTTATGCTTTTTACTTTTTCATTTTCTTTGTTATCATGTGTATAATAGTGTTTGCACAGAACCGATAAAAACGTAAGAAAAAGAAATAAAAAAAACACCAGCACATTCGCCGGATTGACACCTATACAGTAAGTAAAGGAATGTAATTTTTTTCTTTCGTTCTCGTGACCATGTAAGATATAACGAAGGAAAAAAAATAAAAAAAAGATGTTAATCGTGACAAAAGCAACTATAGACGCACTGTTTTTGCTATATTAGAATATCCGCAAGCAAAATAGTTTTTATCCAATATTCGTTTATTTTTATAAAGAAAAATTATTTTTCATCTTTTTTGATATTACAAGTGTTTGCAAAAACAAACTTGCGCAAAATCAAATATTTCTTTAACCGTTTTTCTAGTTGTTAGAAGCAATTACACAACTTATTTTTGTACTAGTAAATCACTGCTAGATATACTCCAGGTTGAACAATACGGCGCCTACACTACTGTTTACATGCCGTATTCACATCGTTTTTATAAAATACTTTTGAACTAGATATAGTTATCATCAAGCTGTACTCAACCATTAGATCTTGTTGAGTGACGTATTGTAATATTGATGTATCCTGCCTATACCAAAACTCCGATACTTTACTAGAAAAAGTGGGTTAGAAATATATTTAAATTCAAGTACTTTATGAAAAGTAAAAACTTGCACGACCGCATTAAACGTATACATACTTTCAAAGAAATCTATCTAATCTCTCTATTTTATTGATTTTATTTACACAAACATGAAATTCTAATTATAATGTTCTTGTAATCCAAAATTTTTGAAATAGATTTCTTTTCGTAAAATGTCATTGGATTTAATTGATAACGAAGAAGAACAAGTCACCATTGAAAATGAATGGTTAAAATCATGTTATAGTAATGAAACAGAAATCAAAGAATTATTATTAAATATTAAAAAAGATAAATTAGATATAAATAAAATGATCGATAATAATGGAACTAGTTTATTACATATTTGTGCCTTATGTGGCTATAATAAATTATTATCGTATATGTTAAATGAATTTAATAATTATTTTAATATTAATGTAAATATAATTGATAAATATGGACATACACCATTACATTGGGCATGTATAGAAAATAATATTGAATGTTTAAATATATTAATTAAACATAATAATATTAATTTAAATATGAGAAATTTTGATGGATTATTTATAATTAATCATCAAACACCCATATATTTAATTGGTGGTCAAACATGTTTACATTTTGCTTGTGAATATGGTCATATTGAATGTGTTTCATTATTATTACAAAAAATGGAAATGAAATCAATAATGATTGAAGATTTTAATGGTTATACACCTTTAGATTTAGCAATTATGAATTCAACACGTAATGATAAATGTTATGAAATTGTTAAATTATTGAATCAATTTAATGTGAATGAAAATATTGCTGATAAAAATATACAAATATCGAATCAAAATAATTATTTTATTCAATTTTGTAAAGATAAATTAAAAGTTCAAAAACGTATTGCAAATAAAATGAAAGATACTTTACCAAATATGCATGGAAATTGTTGTCATACATGTCGAAAATTTTATCAAATATCTCTTGATGATATGAACGAAAAATGATCCGATTGAAATGATATTTTTAAACATTTTGATAACAATAAACTCAACATAATAAAAATGTGTTCTGGTAAATTTAATCTTTATAACATAAAATTTGTTCAAAATCGTTTTTTGAAATGTTCTTTACTGTATTCAATCATCTTAGTAGAATATCCACTTATTGAAATCAGGACAGATATTTGCTCGTATTTAGACAGCATCATAAATACAAAAAACAAATTCACTATCAATCAGATAGAAGAAAAATCGAATCGAAAATTTAAAAAAGTAAAAAAAATGTTATAGTACTATTTTTTAAACGTGTGGAAAAGGTGATTTTTCATAGAAGAAGATTAGATTTTAAAGGAACGGAATCGTAAGGATCCATGTAAATCTATTCTTTCACATATATTCAATAGGTACCAAAGATTCGAGCGTGTAATATTTCTTGAAGAATAGCTTTTTTGGGTCGGAGAAAAATAAACTCCAAATTTGGAACTCACTTACGCATCCATATTTTACCAAAGACATGCAGTCCATGTTTTATGAAATGCGATACTAAGACAGTATATGATGACGAAAATAAATGATAATTGCTAATATCGCCCTCAAATAAATTAATACTCATCTTAATTACTACTCAACCTAATTCGTACTCACTTTAATTAATACTCAGCCTAATTAGTACTCATCTTAATTAATACAGGGTGTCCAAAAAGTCCATATCACTTAAATTTTTCGTTGATCTTTACTATTTGATTTACCTTCATCGACTTGTTTTTTTAAATGATAGGTGGATGCATCAAGTTCTTTTCTATACGAACAAATTTCATAAGTACTGTTCTAAGATATCATCTTTCAGCGAAATACAAAAAATTAGGTTTTATTTCCAGAAAAATAAGTGGTGCGGCAGTTTGAATGGGTGCACTTTATATTTCAATTTTCATTCACTTAATACATTGTATTAAGAAAACAAAGTATACCACAAGATGCAGCGTGAAAAGCTCTACGATTTATAAACAACAGTTTAATTTATATATGAAATAAGAAAAATATTAGTTAGTGTGGATGTGGCTCTTCCCTTCACTGACACCTACACCCACACCCATCCTAACAATAGAGGCCGATTAGAGTAACACGATGGTATTCAATCAGATTCTGATAGTAGAATCCGACTGTCGGTCGATAATCAGGATTCCTATAGGGTTTCGTCGGTCGTCCAGAAATCCCCTTAGAATCTGATCGGATCCAATTATTGGAGTTTTTCTTCTGCGCACACCTACACCCACACTTATTAGATAATCATTCAATTTCGAGTCCATATAACATTGTATTCGTTCAAATGAAAGAATAATTTTTACTACGTTTACATTACTTCGATAATACTCTTTGACATCATGCATTTACTTGATAAACATTTTGTTCACAACAAAAGAAGCATGATGTTGTTTAGCTACTAGTGTCCTACGTGATCGATAATTTTGATCACGATCACGAACTTTGTTTGAATCAAAATGAGAACCACGATCCTGAATATTACATTGTATGTGGTCACATGATGAGAACTGTTGACTCCAAGTCGAGTCGTTGCCACCTACTCCATTAAGCGCAGTCAAATAGATTAAAAATCTACACCGACAATTCATTCTTTTTGTTTATTTGTACTCGCAAAAATGTCTTGAATGTATAAGACTTTTTGCCTTATGCTCATTTTTAGCAGTAATATTGATTTCATTTCGAGGAAGAGGATTATAGTTAGATAGTGAAAATGATGAGCAAATTATTTGAACACATAGTTTTCTCACCTATTCCCCATCAATTTTGCTTTTTTTATACAATAGTAGATAGTCAGCTTATCTGTATTATTTGCTATTTTAGTTAAAAGTAGCATATGAATTGTCGGATTTTTTTCTGATGTGAATATGAAGTGTCAAGTTTTTGAATAAGTAGTTGAGATTTTGAATGTATATATTATGATCGTGATCACGAAATAAACTTCCAATCACGGCCATTTCACGAACTTTTCTTCCTCAATCACGATCACGATCATGATCACGAAAAAAATTTCTGATCATGCAGGACACTATTAGCTACTCTATTGGATATTGTTTTTCAACTGTTTGCCTTTCTCCAATTTCTTTCATTTTGTGTTGCAATCTTTATGAAAAGATTCTTACGAAAGGATGAATCAGAAAGAAAAATATGCTTTCTCTTCGAACTTTAAGTAACCAATGCTCAATGACAAATAGACGCATTTGCACTCATGTTTAATACATCGTGATGTGTTTTGTTCTCTTCATCACAGTCTGACGATTGTTCACAAACAAATAGGAACAGTTGGTGTTCGTTGTTGCTGATTACATGGCAGCACAACAGAACAAAATGAAAACTTCGATGGTGCGGGTGTGGGTGTGGGAGTGTGGGTGTAGGTCTCGTTTTCAACCACACCCACACTCTCATGCTGACTTTTGCCGTATTTGTCCTATCATCGGAAATGTGCAAGAAAGAATTCAGCGAATCGATCAAACGAATCTGGGTACAATAAACTGATATTAATTACTCTATCAATTTTGTACACAATGCTTATTTGTGAAATATTGATCGCATTTTGCTACTCATCTATGACTTCATAGAGGAGAATCAAAGAATAATCCGTCATTGGAGAATGAATTGGTATAGATGCAGCTGAAGTGAATGGAGAAGTAATTGTAACAGAATAGGATCTGTACCGATCAATGGCCAAGAAATATCTAATGATAGTAAGAGATCTATCGCTGATTACGGAATTGTGTTATAGAAGAATCAGATTTTCGCATGTTCACATTGATAGTCTTCCAGCGATCCGGTTTTGATAAATTGTCATAAAATACTTCGATAAACCACCGTATGGAAATATCTGACACATTTTCCCGCAGCACATATCTTCTAATTGCAACAGAACAAGATGAGAAAGAAGTATCAATTTAGACCAATGTTGCTTTATTTTTTGTCGTTGATTATTGCATGTATGTAACTGGTTGAGAAAAGGAAACTCTTGAGAGATAAGTTCGAAGAATTCACGTTCAGAAGGACACGATTCAATCATCGTCAAGTATCGAACTTTATCGAACATCGCACTTTGAAACGAGTTGTTGAGAAACAGAAAATGTTCGAATTAATAAGGAAACAAATAGACATGGTATCTGTCTGCTGGGTTTATTGGTTTAGTATGCACATATGAACAAACTTTATCATATGCTTTTATAATGAAACTACGTTGGATGTCTTCGTTTGATGAAAGTGAAATTCTAAATTTATCGTTAGAAACACCTGTATCAATACTGAGTGTGAATTTGTTTAGTAAGGAGAGCGTGGGTGTGGGTGTGTGAGTGTGGACGACAATAGAGTGATATAAAATCCACACCCATCGGAAGCTTCAGATCGACGTATCGAAATACCCATCGAGTGACAGCTTGGGTAGAATGATTTTTCAGGTTAAACTGTAAAAATTCAATAGATTTTACATAATGTAAATCAGCCAAAGTTTCGATTTTATAATTATTTACTTTCGGAAGGATCTTCAATTATGTATGGAAATTTAATGATGATGTAAGTTTTCTGAAATGTGCAACGTCTTTGTTTGATACTAATACGATGATGTTTTGAATTTTTATTTCACCTTTGTTTCTTATCAAATCAAGGACTCTAATTGTACTAAAGAAAATATGTTTTGTCATCATTTGTATCTTTGTTTTATTCATATAAAAGATCCCAACTAGCAATTCGATAGGTATTTCGACGTGTCGATTTTGGCTTCCGTTGGGCATCGAAATTTCAAATCGACCCCTGGGATTGCCATTTTCCGATGGGTTGAGGGCTCGGCGATAGGTTGCTTTTACTAGCAGTTTTTAACCACTGGAATGGTCGTTTCCGATTGATCGGAATTTGATCGAAAAAAAGAATTTTCGTCCGATAGATGTCTCAATTTCGAGCTGTCCAAACCCATCGAGTATAAATTTCGAGTCGTCGTAACTTATCGAATATATGCAGAGAAGTAGATTTGAACATGGGTACTTACGATTCACTTTCGTCGAACAGTTGATCTAAATATGAACTATTATTCTTATATCAAAACGACCTTTTTAATTCATCAGAAGACAGTAGTTTTTATTCCTTTTCATGCTTTCTAACTTTTCATTTTATTTTTTGAAAACTGAAAATAATATTTTTTGCCCAGAGAGAGAAATTTCTTTTAAACATTAGAAATAATATTTTTCATCCAGAAAAAAGATTATATTTTGAACAATAAAAATAATATTTTTTATCGAGAAAAATTTTTTTATCATGAAAAAAATTTCATCAAGAAAGGAAAACTTTTTATATCTCTATAAGTGACACAAGAACTTTTTTTTTTAATTTAAGACTTCGTATAAATCACTTATTGAATAAATATGACGCTCAATATGTGATAATCAACGAATTTGGACATGAAAGCATAACGTCAATATTTAGTCATTTTTTTTAAATTCACAACGTGAAAACTCATTATTACTATGTCTTAGTGAGTAGATGTCTAATTCGAGTTCGAAAATAAATGGAAAAAATGCGGCACTCATGTTAAAATAGCAAAAAAGCAAAATAAAAAGTTTTATATAAATTATAAATTTATAAACGAAAAGGCCCACCTATGTTAAAGCAGCAAAAAAGCAAAAGAAAAAGTTTTATACAAATTATAAATTTATAAATAAGAAGATCCACCCATGTAAAAATAGCAAACAAAGCGAAAAAACATTCTACCAAAATGATTATTGTAATCACAATTTTACTTTGCACATTACGGTGTACACAAAGATGAGCATGGGTCGCGGCTTTTCGGGAGGCGCTTGGCGCCCCCACGCCGAGACGCAGAAATAAAAGGTCAGTTACGCGGGGAAAACCTGTTTTTGGCTGATGAGTAACAACTATGCCAAACTACAAATGGCTCTGGTATTATTCGAAGCAAGGTGAATGCCAAAGTATACGCAATTGGTTAGCATAATTTT